GGCCTCCCAAAGTGCTGAGATTATAGGCATGAGCCACCATTCCTGGCCTAAGATTAAGTTTCTTGCCTAAGGACACACAGCAAATCAGTGGCAGAGTTAGAGATGGAACCCAGGCCGGGGTGACCCCAACCCGAGCCCTCGGCTACCCTCCCTGTGCCCATGTGGGTAAGTAAAACCCTCCCCGGTCCACCTGGGAGGCTCTGACCAGCCCTCTCTCCTCCCCCATTGCAGGATGCCCACCCCCTCCTCCTGTCCTGGATGGTGAGGATGTGCTTCCTGACCTGGACCTCCTCCCGCCCCCTCCACCGCCCCCTCCGGTGCTCCTACCTTCTGAAGAGGAGGCTCCTGCTCCAATGGGGACCTCACTCATTGCAGACTTACAGCAGCTGCACCTGTCCCCGCCTCTGCCCCCGCCCCCACCACAGGTACTGCCCTCCCCAGCAATCCCTTGGTCTCCTGGGTTGAGGGACGGGGAGTCTGGGCATTCAGGGGTTCTAAACCTGGACTTTGTCTGGTGCATTATTCTGCTTGAGGGCAGTCCGTCTTTGAAGCTCTCAGAAGTCCCTATTCAGCAGGTAAAAATTGGTTAAGCGTTTCATGGTCCCTGGAGAGGGCTGCCACTGCCTCCCCGCTCCACCCACCGCAGACACACGCTTCAGCTCTGAGGAAGACATTTTCCTGAGTCTGACGTAAATCCCTTAGGCCTGTCTCTTATACACATCTAGATGTGTATAAGACCCCGCCTCTGCCCCCGCCCCCACCACAGGTACTGCCCTCCCCAGCAATCCCTTGGTCTCCTGGGTTGAGGGACGGGGAGTCTGGGCATTCAGGGGTTCTAAACCTGGACTTTGTCTGGTGCATTATTCTGCTTGAGGGCAGTCCGTCTTTGAAGCTCTCAGAAGTCCCTATTCAGCAGGTAAAAATTGGTTAAGCGTTTCATGGTCCCTGGAGAGGGCTGCCACTGCCTCCCCGCTCCACCCACCGCAGACACACGCTTCAGCTCTGAGGAAGACATTTTCCTGAGTCTGACGTAAATCCCTTAGGCTGCACAGGAAACCTGGTTTTTGTTTGGTTGGTTGGTTTTGAGATGGAGTCTCGCTCTGTCGCCCAGGCTGGAGTGCAGTGGCATGATCTTGGCTCACTGCAGCCTCCGCTTCCCAGGTTCAAGGTGATTCTCCTGCCACAGCCTCCTGAGTAGCTGGAATTATAGGCACCCGCACCATGCCTGGCTAATTTTTGTACTTTTTGTAGAGGTGGGGTTTCACCATGTTGGTCAGGCTGGTCTCGAACTACTCACCTCAGGTGATCCACCCAGCTGGGCCTCCCAAAGTGCTGGAATTACAGGTGTGAGCCACTGCGCCTGGCCAGGAACCTGTTTTTTTAACCCTGGGCCCTTAACAGAGGTTGTGTAGAAATGGGGGGGCATCACAGGCCAAGGGCTTAGTCCACTTCAGTCCAGCATCCACGGGGAAGCCTGGTTGCAGAAAAGTCCTAAGTGGGATGAGGAGCAGTGGCTGATCAAGGGACCCCAGTTAGCTGCCACTGCAGCCTTCCTGCTGAGAGACTTAGGCAGGTCCCTTGCTTCCCTGGGCCTCGGTTTCCTTCTCAGTGCAATGTGGCTAATTGCACCCGTTGCCACCCAGAAGAGGAACAGAGCTGGGAGGGTTGCCTGGGGTCCCCACTGGGTGACTCCCTGTCTGCATCCCCACAGGCCCCAGCGGAGGGACCTTCAGTCCAGCCTGGTCCCCTCAGGCCCATGGAGGAAGAGCTGCCACCTCCCCCAGCAGAACCTGTTGAGAAAGAGGCGTCCACAGGTGGGTGCACAGGGCTGGGAGGATTCTGGGGGGATCTCATGGGGCCAGCATGGGCTTCCAGGTTGAAACCAGGAGAGTGAGGACGCCCCTTCCCATCCCCACCCCAGCTCATGTTACAATGATGGACTTTGTAGGTGGGCATCCATTTAATTTGTGTTGCCTTAGCCTTTTCCCCTTTATACCTAAATTCTATTTAAAATGTTAGTCTGGGCCGGGCGCGGTGGCTCAAGCCTGTAATCCCAGCACTTTGGGAGGCCGAGACGGGCGGATCACGAGGTCAGGAGATCGAGACCATCCTGGCTAACACAGTGAAACCCCGTCTCTACTAAAAAATACAAAAAACTAGCTGGGCAAGGTGGCGGGCGCCTGTAGTCCCAGCTACTCGGGAGGCTGAGGCAGGAGAATGGCGTAGACCCGGGAGGCGGAGCTTGCTGTGAGCTGAGATCCGGCCACTGCACTCCAGCCTGGGCGACAGAGCGAGACTCCATCTCCAAAAAAAAAAAAAAAAAAATGTTAGTCTGCACAGTTTGCTACGATAACAAAAATGTCTTGAAATTTTGTCTCATTATTTTATTTTCCGAATACCTAATGCCCTCACACGGTGCAAAATAAACAGCGTGAGTGGGGACACAGTGAGAAGCCTGCAACCTGCCCCATCCCCTTACCACCCGGTTTCCTTCCCGATGGGCGTCCTCTGTCATTGAGCTCTCATGTATCCTGCCAAAGACACTGTGCACATACGAGCAAATACAAATATGTGTCCACCCACTCCCTCCCCCCATTTTTCCATAAGCAGCAAACTAGGCCCTTCTGCTGTTCACTTTCTTTCCTTCGTACATCTCAGAGCTGGTCACATATCAGAATATAAAGTGGCTCCTGGCCGGGCGTGGTGGCTCACACCTATAATCCCAGCACTTTGGGAGGCTGAGGCAGGTGGATTACCTGAGGTCAGGAGTTCAAGACCAGCCTGGCCAACATGGTGAAACGCTGTCTCTACTAAAAATATGAAAATTAGCTGGGCGTGGTGGTGTGTGCCTGTAATCTCAGCCACTTGGGAGGCCAAGGCAGGAGAACTGCTTGAACCCAGGAGGCAGAGGTTGCAGTGAGCCGAGACTGTGCCACTGTACTCCAGCCTGGGTGACAGAGTGAGCCTCCGTCTCAAAAACAAATAAATAAAATAAAATAAAGTGGCTCCTGGCTGGGCATAGTGGCTCATGCCTGTAATCCCAGCACTTTGGGAGGTCGAGGCAGCCAACAATTCCTTTGTCCTGAAACTGCTGTCCAGAATTCCTTTTTTTTTTTTTTTCTGAAATAGAGTCTCGCTCTGTCGCCCAGACTGGAGTGCAGTGGCACGATCTCGGCTCACTGCAACTTCCACCTCCTAGGTTCAAGTGAGTCTCCTGCCTCAGCCCCATGAGTAGCTGGGACTACAGGGGCATGCCACTATGCCCAGCTAATTTTTGTATTTTTAGTAGAGATGGGATTTCACCATGTTGGCTAGGCTGGTCTTGAACTCCTGGCCTCAAGTGATCCGCTCACCTTGGCCTCCCAAAGTGCTGGCATTACAGGCATGAGCCACCACACCTGACTCAGATTCCTTTTTAATGCTCCTCATGACCCTCTGTATTTGTCATTTGAGGAATTTACAGGGTTTGAGACAGAGCCTCAGGTACCCTGGGCATGTTCTGGGTGGTGCCTGGGTACAGTCCTCGCAGGCTGGGCTAGTAATGGCCTGTGTCTTCCCTACCCCAGACATCTGTGCCTTCTGCCACAAGACCGTGTCCCCCCGAGAGCTGGCTGTGGAGGCCATGAAAAGGCAGTACCATGCCCAGTGCTTTACATGCCGCACCTGCCGCCGCCAGCTGGCTGGACAGAGCTTCTACCAGAAGGATGGGCGACCCCTCTGCGAACCCTGCTACCAGGTAACCCCTACAGCAGACCTCTGGGTGCCAGGCACTGAGCTGAGCACTTAGAATATGTTATATCATTTCATTCCCCATACAATCCTGGGAAGTAGGCACTATTGACCCCTTTCACAGATGAGGAAACTGAGGCTCAGAAAGAGGGAGCCCAGTGAAGGCGATTAGTTTCCTAGGGCTGCCTTTAAGAGATCACAACCTTGGTGACTTGCAACAATACACGTTTATTCTATCCCGGTTCTGGAGGTCAGAAGTCCAATATCAGCTTCACTGGGCCAAAACCAAGGTGTTGTGCTGTCTGCAGGCTTGAGGGAGAACCCACATCTCTGCCTTTTGCAATTTCTTTTTTTTTAGTTCTTCTTCTTTGGGGTGGGGGACGGAGTCTCACTCTATCGCC